GGACGCGGCGCGACGACTGTCGCCCTTAAAGTCTTATATTGACAGACCAAGTAAGTCTATACTAAGTTTGGTCTCATTTGGACAATTAGTTCACAAGGTATTAAAAAAAATGAAAAATTAATTAAATATGCAAATGAGCTTGTTAATTAAATTAAAACTCAAGATTGCATAGCATATATTTTATATTGATAAATCAAGTCTCTACCAAGTTTGGTCTGATTTGGACTATTAGTTCACAAGATATTAAGAAGAATTCAAATTAATAATTAAATATGCAAATGAGCTCATTAATTGATTCCTTGAAAAAATAAATCAACTTGCATCTGTACCATTGGTCACTCTGTCTTTGTACCAAGTCTCAGCAAAATCGGTCCAGGCATCTCCGAGAAATGATGATGGACACACCCAAAAAACGAAGGCGAAAAAAACCGAAGGCGATATTATACAAGCCCCCTCCCGGACTTTGCAGCTAGTGAGATATGTCTTACTAAAACCGTCATATGACCTATATGTTCTACAGTATTTTAAAACTTGAGACGTACATACACTATGAGCTGGAGCTGAGGCAATACTACTTGACAAATACGGGAAATTGTTAATTTCCAAATTGAAATCATCTCGCTTATCATACAGGTTTAATTCGGAGGGACAGATGAAGGTGTAAAGTTGAATTCACGCTCTCTGATGTGTTCATGATGGTTAGTTCTTCAGGGTAAATCAAGTGAAGATAACTAGACACATTTTGTTTTGTTTTTAAACTAAAGAAGTCGTTTTTCTCGACTTAATGAAAGATATATAAATTGGGCCCAATACTGATACAAGAATAAGTCTGCTAGAAGTGGTGCTCAATTCGTGCCCATAGTGTGTTTAATTTATCAAACTTGACAAATATATTGTCTATAAGAAAGTTTAACATGTCAATAAATTCAACATCATTATATTTATGTTTTGCGTGCATTTTGTTTTACTTTTATCGATAAGCACGCCATATTCAAATGAACCAAATATTTTGGATCTATCAAAGTTTAAAACTCCTACACCAACTGAAGAACTGACAATAAAATAATTTCTATTTTGAAACTTAAAAACGCACGTGTATCTCAGGTGTTCCATGCTCAATATTAACAGAAAAATCATGTTCCACATTTGCCATTATCTCCAAATCTGAAAGAAATGTAGAATCGATGTAATGTGACAATTAAATAAATGTGGCATCACTTAAGTGACCTTTATATTATAATATATATAATTGATGTTTTATACATTTATTATAGAAAACCGTAAAAATATACTACGAACTGGAAATCGGAATATATCACGTTAAAAGAGGGTCATAAATATTTATAACAAAATATTAGACATCTACAATTGTTAGAGATCAATTTCAAGAAAATAATTTGAAACATTTATCATCATACACTCGCACATTGCATAGCAATTCTCGCAAAACCAAAAACTAGTTGGTAAAACACCGTTTTTATATTACTATGACAAGGACTTGACAGTTATCATAAAACCCAGTAGGAGGCACAGAATCGATATTGTGAACAAAGTACCACGTGCTAAAAAAGGAGAAAACATTAAAAATCTGAGATTCTGGCATAAAATATATCAAATTTCAGAGAGATATAGAAAAGATATTTACATTCCAATTGTGAGAGCCTTTTGAGTTATGGCTCAAATACGAAATCAAAACATTAATATTGACTAAAATAATCATTAAAATTTCAGATTTGGTTACAAAATGAACAAATCTAAGAGAGATCTATCCACATACCAAATATACTAATGTACAAACGCATTCTGAGTTAAATTTTCAAAGATGAAAACGGACATGTAACAGTTCACGGATGGAAAATGGAATTCGATAAACTCAGCTTAGCCAGCTTCGTTGACAAAAACAGTCACGTGCACCACACTTAGCAAATGAGCATGATGCAAAACTCACAATCAAGAATTGTACACGGATATTTACTCAAAATCAAAACGCAAATTATGCACCATATAAATGTACTTTGAATACTTTAGTCATGTACGTCCATGTATAAGGCCAAATTGTATCTGTAAAATTGATAGTTGTTTTACATGGGGTTAAATATCCAAGTGGCCAAAGTGCAACACTTCTCAAAAACCATCACCGATGCCAATCTCATTTAAAGTAATTTTGTCTTCAGAAAGTGACACTGTCATTGATGCGACAAGCACAACATTTCGCAACAATTAAATCCAGGAACATACCAGAATCAAAGGTATTCCTGATGACAAATGAATCGAACATTTACTTGTTTAACTATTTTCAAATCATATCTTATGTTATGACATGGTTCAGTCTACTGTCCAAACAGTGCTTATTGTGTTCTGATCCTAGAGATAATAATCCCAGTAAATATAAGTACTTTTAAATTATTGAAATCATATATATTTGCTGTTACGGTATTAATTATGAATCATAGTGCACATGAATCACAAAGACGAAACCGGTTGCAGCAGCACATAAAATGCGTCGCCCACAACGTTCTCCGTTCGCTTCATTCACCATATCTAGCTGCACGTCCCTCCATCGTCATGCCATATTTATAGCAAAAATCAGTATATGTTCTCTAAAATTCGCCACCGAGGGCGTGATTTCGGATTTTAGAGAACTGCCGAACTGCTGCTGTTGACTGCATTATATAAGTGTTATTTTGTTGTTTTTAAATCTAAATGTAAAGACGTGATTCAGTACTGATTGTGTTCTGGTCCCAGAGATGCGAAACTGCTGCTGTTGACAGCATTATGTAAGTGTTAGTATTAAATATCAGGATATATAATAGTCACGGTGTCAGTAGGTGTTCTTTTGCTTGTTTTAAAAGTAAGACATGATGATTCAATCTGCGGAATAAAAGTTTCAATTGTATTACGATTCTAAAAAATATCTCATAGCTTAAAATTTCACGACTTGTGTGTTCTGACTAGAGTACTTAATTTATTGAACAATTGTGTGAAGGTATATAATCGTGTATAAAATATATAGTATATAGTATAACCCTTTTTTCTCCAATTTTCCTTGTCATCTCAAACTACTAATAATCATACTGCTTTCTGTTTACTCTTTGCCTTTAACATACTGTAGCTCCAAACCTCCCCCGCCATTGATTTCCAAATTTATAATCGATATACTATTTTCAAATATTCGTTATACTAATTCCCTACGACTCATTTGCATATGTTAACTTAAACATGTACATGGAACAATGACGGCCACATGATTATCTAGAGCATATCTTTAAGATTGAATTTACTTTTTTATACTTGGGTTCTATTTTTTTTACACATTTTTACAGGTCAGCATAACACATGCTTAAGGTATAATAAAATTCATGTCACATATAAGTTAGGCCAAAAAAAACCTATGTTGCCCTCAAGTCGAAAAATAAAAAAAATAAGCCGTTCTTTTTTTTTCTTTTTTTTTTTAAATTCGTGAAAACTAAGAGTATCATAAATAGCCAAGGTATATGGACTTCATAGTATTCGGAACATGTCAGAGAAATACAGATCAGCCCGAAGTTCAAAGTCGCCACTTACGGGCTTTGTGGATCAAACAACGGTCTGGGATCCTTAATTTTTAGAGGAAACACTTTTTTACTGCTTAAAATGGTGAGTTTTTAATATTTGGGCCTATTAAAAAAAAAACGCGACCCGATATTTCATATTTTTCGGTCGGTCGCTGAGAGCAACAAAACAGTTTTTTTTTTTGATATTTGTTCTTGGTAGAATGATTTCACTGAGCCACAAACAGCAGAGTTGGAATAGAAATCATCATCACTTTCAAAAAGATATATAAACACGTGAGCGTCATTACACGAATCGGGATAGGTTGGATATTCTATTTGGTAGGCGCAGTCAAAGTACATATTGTACTGCATTTCACCGATGAGGTTATAGTACCCCGCCAATTGTTTGATGGCGCACTTAAATAAACGTAATTTGGATTACAGACAATGCAGGGGATCACAGTTCAAAATACCTTTATTCCTAGCGCTGTTATGAGTATGCTTGGCCGTTGTAGAATACCATTAACCTAAACAGCCGAAACGTTTTTATTGGCTATTAAACATTAAAAATACCACAAAACACCGAAATTTAGAATATTAAGCGTCACGAATATGATTTAAAAGACATTTGGCCGCCATTAGGCCAGTTAAACTTTACTTAAATATTTAAATGTCGGACCTTCGTATAATTTGTTTATAAATCCATATAACTCATTTTAAATACTGAAGATGGAAAATGGTCGAGAAATGCAAGCATACTAGCAATATTCACATTACATGTGTCCCATATGCTCTATTTTTGGTAGAGGACTCGGAGATTGCCAGCTGAGATTGCCAGAATGCTAAAAAACTGCAACATGTACACTCTGCTCAAAATCATAACGTGAATGAGAAGGACGCAGGTCGTGACACAACTTTTGTCAAGTTGTCGCAGAACGCAAAAACCAGGTGAAAGATCACCGCATCTAATATGATTGTTGATTGTGACAAAATTGGGGATGACAAATTAATATTGTCGACACACAATGGAAAGGTATGTAGATTTAGTTGGAGGTTATTATGCATACAAGACCTTGGCGCGTGCTATGTGTTTTCAGGAGAGGCAGTACGAGTTGCTTGATGATCACGGGTTTAACGACTCACTGCTATAATCTAGTACATGCTAGATAGTGAATGTGGTAAGATCTCGTTGTATTTTTCAGCCAGCGATAGAAAATAATAAATGAGACACTTTCGATCATTAATATATATTGCTTAAATAGTACAGTTAATCTATGTACGCCAATTTAATATTTAACGTTAATTGTATGCGAATATTCACAACTACCGTGATAGAATTGTCACACCAACAGCGGGATTTGAAACAAAAATAGATGGAATGTTGATGAGACTAAAATTGCAGATAGTGTAGATATTTAAATATAAATTAACATGCGTATTTTAGCAGTTTAAAAACACACATTCCAAAAAAAAAACGGATTCACGTCATGGTTTCCCATAAATGTTTGGAACTGTGTTGCTGTTGTTGTATAACAGCAGAGTGCCACATGAGATGGTATTTTGCTGATCGGGTCGACTGGCTTCGTTGTAAGTTTAATATTTTGTCATAACTGTGACAATACTATCAGCTTGTTCAAATATGGTGCTGGGGCTTGGACGTAGGTTTATTTGTCAACACAATTACCAAATATTCATTTGTTCATACACTAAGATTGATTTACAATTTTAAGTCATGATTTGTTCAGAAATGTCCAATTATTGTTAATCCGTTATTGCTTAAATAATTGTGTAGACTAGGTAACGTGGTTAAATGGATATAGTCAGCTTGGGAACAATATCTCATCGCATAAAAAGCGACATTGGATATAGTATGTGCAAACATATATTTACATTTTACAAAACTACCAATTGTAGCCACCCTCTATAGTCAGCATAGAACTAAGCAGAGATAAAGGAAGAGACGTGTGTAATACGAACGCAATATCTATGCAATCCAGTATTGACATACGTACACTAGATAACAAATATAAAGGTAATATGTTCTAATCTACAGTGAGCCACAAGGGGTGAGACACATGTGTCGTTCAATATCTGAAAAATTTCACTCCCACTCAAGTGTCAACACAGTTTTAAAGAGAATATTCAATAAGCTGGTCACCTACACAGCTACCATATATTGACTTCGTATCAATACATGCTCGATTCCTTCTAGTGTTACTGTCACTGCCATAATGTTTCAAACACCAAAACAGCAACATCACCAGCTTAGTTGCTGTTGATCGTCACGTGACTAGGAGCTGGTTTAATCAAACTAATTTACAAGAGTGCGCCGTTAGACTAAATACGCGCATTCTCTAGCATTCTGCCCGGGTTAATTCCACGCACTTGACACTAGTGACTTTGTAAGTACCTACAATTCGTTTAAAGTACTTTATCTTTGCCATTGTCATACAGAAATTTAAACAATTGGATTAAATAAATTAAAAAGATATTGCATCTTTAATTTATATTCAACGTGTCAAAGTCCCTCACCCATCAGTTTGATGTCTTTCGATGAGGTTGGTTGGACCCACACTTGTCCCAACCGCAATTTCCAAGCGTGCATAGTAAACCAGTGAACAACTTAGATGGCCGTGAATGCTGGTGTACGGAACAATTGGCGGTGGCATAAACTAGGTGCTGCATCTGAAATGAATGCAATATATGTATTTTACGTATGTCCACTTAGGAATTCAAAATTTATTATTGATTTATCAGCGATTTATCATGTTAAGTTGTTCGCAAAAAAGCTTTACACTGAAAAAACGTTATTTACACAAATGGTATCGCACGAAACAGTTGGAAACCCAATATTTTCAAACTGATTAACTGATTTGCGGAGTTGTGTAAAACAAATTGCGTCCATAATTAAAATTGTGTGCGTGATTACAATCCGTGTTAGGACAATACAGTATGTATATACATTAAACAACAGATTGAGTTGGGGTAGGGAATTGTGATCGTCGTAGCGCACTGCAATGTGCTATCTATGTTATATCCATCATACTGTCCGCGCTGGTTGAGCCGTCGTGCTCGACTCCTATTTGAGTATGGTGATAACGGCGTATGCTCCGCCAAACCCACTCACTGTCTCTTATACTCTGTTATACTCTGTTACCGGTACGTACCGGTATGTACGGTACGTACATGCAACAAATATATCCCCCAATATCTGTAGTGTGTTCTGATAAGATTAAAATCTCGCGGGACCAACAGTTTATGTTGTCTTTATGCGGCAAAAAGAATATTTCGCGTTAACTGGGCCATCCTATACCAACATACAGCCGGCGGCTATATCCATCCTTTCCGATGTGAGAAGATATCATGATTAAGGATTTAGGCTTCGCATGTTCGCATTAGTACTATATACTGCAACACTCACATACTCCTAGATTCTTAGTTGCATTATTGTATGTCATGTCATGTCCATGACTCAAAGACTATTCGAGTTCCCTTGTACTTCCAAAATGACATCCAGGTTCCCATCAAACTCATGGACACCTAGGTATTGCTACAGCATGTTTTTGTGACACTTACACATCACTGGACTGCGAGCGAGCTTGATAATAATGATCCCATTGTTGTCCCATCCTCGCATCCATGTGACGGTAGAGCAACGTAAACGATAAGGTTTACGTACTCTAGATAACAAAGAGATTCAATGTACACCCAGCAATAAATACGAATACGAACTATTATCTCACCCCCCCTCTCTCTCTCTGTCGGGACAATGACGTGTACCTCTACGTCAGACTATATCTCTGCAACTGCACACAACCAATATGTCCTCTCTAGAAACATGGGTGGATAGAATCGGACCACGACTGAGAATTCACAGCCCATTGGCAAGACAAGCTGTTGCCGAATTTCTTGGGACGTTCGTCTTGATAGTAAGTATATGCCATTTTATGGGGCGGTAATCGTATAGCCGCATTATTGATGTTAAGTTCGAAACATCACAGTTATTCACAATCTCTTAAACAGTTCAACTATGATAATGTTTGAACTCTAATCGCATCGGGTTGTCGAATGACAGTAACCCTGATCATGATCGCATTACAAATTTCTTTTTTGGACACCAATGGCGACAAATTGGTCATAATTACTAAAATAGATGATTGCATGAAAACTGATTTCTGATATTCTGCATTTTTAGTTAAGTTAAAACACGTGTCTTTATTGCGATGAAACTTGGAAAACACACAACTGGCCAAAATCCATATCATTTTTTGTTTATTGACAGATAAGGGGAACATACAATACTTTTTTGTCGAATGATTTGCAATTCTGACAGAACAAAATGACCGTGTTTGCATCGGATAACCTTGGAATACAGTGTTCCTGGCAAAATGTCGTTTGAATACTGTCCGCTATTGTTCACACCAAGGCG